GTAGGTCCTTACTTTCCGTACAAAAAATTATTTTTATTTCATGGGTGACTTTCGCTGGATTGCGTAATTCATTTCAATTATTCCCAAATTTATTTCCAAGTTATAAAAAATTGTTATCGTACAAAAAATTCATCGCAAAAAATCACGTAAAAAATCGCCGAAAACAATTGCAGCAATGAAAAATTGGGAATCCAAAATTTCAGGATTTCAGGTCTGGATCCGACCCGGAATGTTTTTTTAATTTGCTCACGGAGTCGGACTGATTCCAAAATGTTATGATATGTTGGGTGACGGCCTCTAGGAGTAAAGTTGAAAAAGTATGACACAATAACATTATTTATATAGAAGAGGATTTTTTTAATAATTGGAGAGTTGTGTCCCTTTAATTGAAAAAAGTGTGACACACAGAAATGTTCGTATTTATTATATAAATTAGAATTCTTAAAATATTTTTAAAATTTTAAAGATTACTGGGTAGTTAAAAAAAACATAAAACAAATCGGTGTTTACGCTCGTCATGTTTCTGTGATATTTTTATACTAAAAGTAAGTAATCAATTTTCAAATCAGATTAATTTTACTTTAAATCAGTTAATTTTTGTCGTATAAAATTCCAAAAAAGTATATTTTATTTTTGAAAGATATTTTAATAGAGTGAATTATGTTGTGTTGACAAATTTGTCAATATGGATGATTTCATCGATTTGACTGATAATTAGAATAAAATCATTCCAATAAATTAAAATTCGGCTTGAAATACAGAAAAGTATTTTTTCTTATTGGAAATATTAAATTTAATCTATTAACTTTGAATTAAACCTTAAATAAAAGCTTCAAGAAATAGTTTTCATTTTTAAAAAGAAGTATGTATTTATTGAAAAGCGGCTGATAAGCATACTACTGGTTGACCGAAGTCTGGTAAGTCAGATTGGGCAGGTGAAATATTTGTAAACTCTTAATTTTTGTATTAGTAGAAAGTCTAAAGTCATTGTGACCGAGGATTTGTTCAACTGCTGACCCCATTAGACTATGCATCTTTTTCAGAAATTCTAAGATTCTCTCAGTAAAGTTACAGTATGAACCACAGATTGGCTCTGTGGATGATTTTCACACATAAAATGAGCCTGATCGGATGTCTGCAACAGGAATTAGCTAGCCAACTTAACTGATATGTGTACTTAGAAACAAGCCACCAGACATTATATATATATATATATATATATATATATATATATATATATATATATATATATTGTAATCTGATTGAGATTTTGATGTTGGTATTAAATTCATTAACGAAGGCGACATTTTTTTTCTTGACATCTTTATTTTCCCAAGTAGTTTCAATTTCCAGCGAGATCATCTTCAAGGGTGGACGGCTAAGAGAAAAAAAATGAATGTAACTGACAGTTGAATTCGAGATAATTACAATAAAAAATAAATATACATAATATGTCTAGATTATTCAACCAAACATGCTTGAAAGATGGTATGCTGCCTAAATATACATAGAGGTTGCGATGTGTAAATTGTCGTTATTTTATATTTTTAATTTCGTACATGCGCGTTGGTTGTTTTCAATTTTGTTGCCTGCACACTACAGTAAGGCCATTTGCCCACCGTCTGTGGCAATAAGATCACTTCACTCCGCCAGAAATTTGGAAACGGCAAGCTGTACTGCTTAGCTTTCGCGTCATAAACTCCAATACAACGATTTCAGAATGCTTGGGTGTCAATCTGAGAACAGTAGGGAGAATTTATCTAATGGTAATTACGTAAGTACGGCAGTTTGGCAAACTGACTCTGATCGTTCTGATAAGAAAAGAACACCTGACTTTGTTGGTGAGGGCCTCAGACTCCACACCGAGGCCTAAACCAAATGCCTTGAGGAGTTAGTGGGTCAAGAGAGTTGCTGCTAGAAGGCCCTATGTCTGGCAACAGGACTCTGTACCATGTCACACCACCAGGAGAACCCAGTAATGACTGTCGGACAATATGTACTACCACATCACCCCTTACATCTGGCCACCGCACTCCCCAGACTGAAACCCCATTGATTATTATGTGTGAGGCGCAGTTGAACGAGAGACCAACAAAACACCTTGTAATACCAAAGATGAACTAAAGGCAAATTAAGCAAGGGCAGCGTTCAGAAGGGATGCAAGAGATTCTGACGTCGTCTCGAGACCGTGGTTGAAGACAGTGGCGATTTTATTGAATAAATTTACCCTTTAGTATTGCAAGATACTTTTGTATAATTTTGGTAAATATAGCTGTTAAAATGAGATGTCAGTGTTATTTTCATTTTTGCGTAATTTTGACGACAATTTATCCATCGCACCCTGTGTGTGTGTGTGTGTGTGTGTGTGTGTGTGTGTGTGTGTGTGTGTGTGTGTGTGTGTGTGTGTGTGTGAGGTAGGGGAGGTCACGAAGAGCTATGGTCGCCCATGTCTTGAAGGGACGCGGCACATTGAAGACGTCATTCCTTAAGAGTTCATTTGCCCACCAGGTTTCTTTTATTGCTTTGTGACGCACATTAAACTATTTAAAAGGATGGTCATGCTAGAGTAATGGGTAACGAGCCTTTCTTGTAGATAAGTGTTTAACGAGTTTGGCCTTTAATGAAACAGAAATTACCGGTTCTTCTTCTATGTACCGTGTCATGGTTCTCCACAATTTCCTTTCTTTTATAGCTCTTAATAAATTTAGTCTTTTTACCATCTCTTCTAAACTGTGACCCACTTTTCGGTTACTATGCTAAAAAAAGTTAAGAAAATTTATAAATATACTTCAACCCATCGTCCTGAGTAAGACTATAAACTACATCCGACAACAAGGATTTTGATCAAGAGATTTTGAGGAGGATAGAACCACATCTTAATTGCTGGGGTTCCCAGATACACCATGACTCGGGGTGGTATTACCTGTCAGGGTCCCAGCTATGAAAGTATCAAAATAGGTTTTAATACCAGCAATACTTTTTTGGAAAAAATATTACCAGCAGTACATTTTTTAAAAAGAAAAATATTACCAGCAATTGGAAAAACAAATATTACCAGCAGTACATTTTTTAAAAAGAAAAATATTACCAGCAATTGGAAAAACAAATATTACCAGCAGTACATTTTTTGAAAAAGAAAAAATATTACAAACAATTGAAAAACAAATATTACCAACAGTACATTTTTTGAAAAAGAAAAATATTACCAGCAAATGGAAAAACAAATATTACCAGTAGTACATTTTTGAAAAAGAAAAATATTACCAGCAATTGGAAAAACAAATATTACCAGTAATACATTTTTGAAAAAGAAAAATATTACCAGCAATTGGAAAAACAAATATTACCAGCAGTACCTTTTTGAAAAAGAAAAATATTACAAGCAATTGGAAAAACAAATATTACCAACAGTACATTTTTGAAAAAGAAAAATATTACCAGCAAATGGAAAAACAAATATTACCAGTAGTACATTTTTGAAAAAGAAAAATATTACCAGCAATTGGAAAAACAAATATTACCAGTAGTACCTTTTTGAAAAAGAAAAATATTACCAGCAATTGGAAAAACAAATATTACCAGCAATACATTTTTTGAAAAAAAAAAATATTACCAGCAATTGGAAAAACAAATATTACCAGTAGTACATTTTTTAAAAAAATTACTATTAATACATTTTTGAATAAAAATATTACCAGCAATTCATTTTTGGAAAAAGAAATCTTACCAGCAATAAAAATCTTGTCGGCATTAAATAATCCATTGAACTTGTTATGCCATGAAACAAAACAAACCAAACCAAACTTCAACCTGTATATGGGGTTGTCTGCTTTAGTGTGGCCCAAAGGCCCAAGTGTGGAAAACTAATGACGAGTGAACTCACTATAGTAGCAATAGCCTGCGAGACTAGCTTCTTATTTTTTTCTATTTGCCGTGCTGCTTCAGGGCATGGGCAGTCAAGGCTCTCCCCAAATTCCTACCCTTTGTAGTCCTTAGCAAGTTTGGAATTTGTACACTACATTCCAATCCTCCTTCTGTCAGCCATTTACATAATCTCTTCCTGTAGGTGGTCCATCTTCCCACATCTGCCTCTTTTGGCTTCGATACGTCATGTGGGTGTCAAATTTTCCAAGCCCCCTTTCCTTTGCCCAAGAAACCATAGTTCCCTCTTTCTGATTCTGAGTAATGAGTGTCCTTTTTTGTTTCCTTTTTAGAATCAAGTTTCTGCGATCGATTTTACATTCCATCGCTATTATGAACATGAACACCCTTCTAAATTGATGATTATTCAAGAATATTCGATTCTGAAATGGCGTAGGCTGAAGAAAATCTAAAGAATTCTAATCTAAAAAAATAATAATTCCTAAAAATTAGTTTCCCGCTTTTGATGAGTGGACCAGTCTATTTAAGTAGTAACGACCTTCTTCTACTTATTCTATACGCCGAGTCACTTCAAAACGTGAACGATCATGCCTCTCCTCAACTTCCTGTCTTTTGTAGCTATTAACGCCACCCACTTGCCTAAATCTAACCAAAAAAACGATTTTTTTAAAGTGATTCTTGGTTTGGACGAGAAATTTTTCTCTCGTATGTGTGTGTTCGTATGTATGTATATATGTGCGCATTAGTGTGTGTGTATGTCTATGTATATCTGTGAATGTGTTTGCTACTCTTTTGTTTGATAAGGGTACCATTGCGTTTTATTAGTGGGTAATGGGTAGGTGCGGATGAAGTGGGTATCAGGTGACCTGTGAATATATCCGATTTACTGTGTCATTCTAGGGTTTCTTGATTTATTTACGTCTGCTTGTCATGGCGAAGAGTCGCTAAACAGCGTGGAAGTGACAGGCGTCACCAAATGAAGAGGTTTTTTTTTTCTTTTGGTTTTGACAGCCAACTACAGCCAAAGAATCCAGAAGTACCAAGTTTCACCAAGATTCTAAGTGTCTACCAATACCCTGGGCCTGCTAATATTTCATTCTTTACCTTTTTCTTGAATTTTAATAGATAGCTATAACAAGAAATACTGAATAAGACGAATGAGAAATAAAGTGATGAAATAAAAGAGACGAGAGATAAGTGGCTAAAAAGGAAAGAGAAAAAGTAGTGAAGAAAAATGTAGAATAAAAGACATTAATTTTTGGAAGAAAGAAAGAAAGAAAGAAAGAACTAGAAATTAAAAAAAGGAATAGGAATAAAAAGAATCCAAGAGCTGTAAAAGAAAGAAAGAAAGAAAGAAAGAAAGAAAGAAAGAAAGAAAGAAAGAACTAGAACTGAAAAGAAAGAAAGAAACAAACAAATAAATAAACAAACTTTGCTGTAAAAGAAACAAAGAAAGAAAAATAGTATTGAAAGAACTGGAAGTGAAAAGAAGGATGTAAAGAAAAACAACTAGAATTGAAATGAAAAAGAGAAAGAAAGAAAAAACTAGAAAGAAGGAAGTAAAGAAAGAAAGAAAGAAAGAAAGAAAGAAAGAAAGAACTAGAATTGAAAAGAAATAACAAAAAAACAAAAAATTAGAATTGAAAAAGTAAAAAAGAAACAAACAAGCAAAGAAGTAAAATTGAAAAAAAGAAAAATAGAACTGAAAAGAAAGAAAGAACTAGAATTAGAAAGAAAGAAAAAAACAAACAAGCAAAGAACTATAATTTAAAAGAAAAAAGAAAGAAAGGAAGGAAGAATAAACTAAAATTCATAATAAATAAAAAAAGAGAGAAAGAATAAGCTAAAATTGAAAAGAAAGAAAAATGAAACAGACAAGTAAAGAACTAGAACTGAAAAGATAGAAAGAGAGAAAGAAAGAAAAATAGAATTGAAAAGAAAGAAAAAAAACGAAACAAACAACCCAAGAACTAGAATTAAAAAAGAAAGAAAGAAAGAAAGAAAGAGAGAAAGAGAGAAAGAGAGAAAAAGAAGCCATCTGAGATAGAAACAGAAATTGATATGAATTAAAAGAAAGAAAAAAAGAAAGAAAGAAAGAAAGAGAGAAAAAGAAGCCATCTGAGATAGAAACAGAAATTGATATGAATTAAAAGAAAGAAGGAAAGAAAGAAAGAAAGAGAAAGAAACTAATTGAGATAGAAACAGAAATTGGTATGTATTGAAAGGAAGGAAGGAAGAAAGAAAGAAAGAAAGAAAGAAAGAAAGAAAGAAAGAAAGAAAGAAAGAAAGAAAGAAAGAGAGAAAAAGAAGCCATCTGAGATAGAAACAGAAATTGATATGAATTAAAAGAAAGAAGGAAAGAAAGAAAGAGAAAGAAATTAATTGAGATAGAAACAGAAATTGGTATGTATTGAAAGAAAGAAAGAAAGAAAGAAAGAAAGAAAGAAAGAAAGGAAGAAAGAAAGAGAAAGAAACTAATTGAGATGGAAACAGAAATTGGTATGTATTGAAAGAAAGAAAGAAAGAAAGAAAGAAAGAAAGAAAGAAAGAAAGAAAGAAAGAAAGAAAGAAATAGAAATGGGACGAATTAAAAAAAAATCAAACAAGCAAAGAACTAGAATTGAAGAGAAAGAAAGAAAGAAAGAAAGGATAGAATAGAATTGAAAAGAAAGAAAAAAACGAAAAAAAATAACGAAGAAGCAAAGACCTAAAATTGAAAAAAAAATAAATAAATAAATAAAAAGAACTGGAGTAGGAAGGAAGAATCCAAAAACTGAAAAAGAAAGAAAAAAAAACAGATTTGAAAACCGTGAATGAAAGAAAACTAATTTCTCAGTCGCTAAACTTCTATCCATTCTATTTGGAACTATAATAAATGTCTTTCAATGTCATATTTTTAAATACGAGTAGGGCTTCCTTTGCTAGATTTAAAGTATGATATCGCATTGAATAAACTGATAGCTTTTACAACTGACGAAAATAAAGTATAAAGTGATTCTATCAATTAAAAATAATATCTGTGCTTTCCTACGTACTGGAGATACAAATAATTCGTGAGAAATGATACGCAGATACATGTAAATGTTATTGTTAAAATCTTTGTACCATTTACAAGAATTAAAATCAAGGAAATTCTTATATAAAATTATTTATGCGCCCTCTGTAGTACCGTAGATATTAGTGATAATCTGAAAAGGAGATTGAATACAGAATAAGCTGCGCCAGAGGTAGTCTCGCCCAATACCGCAAGTTGCTACAAAACCGAAACATCAGCCCTAAATCTTGTGTCATGTTCTTAAATCGTCTGGTCAGATCGAGATTTTTATATGGATGTCATGCATGGCACCAAATCCGTTCAGAAATATTTAAACTGTCAGTACTATACAAACGATTTATAAGATCAATATATAAAAAGCCTATGGACGTTGCTGATGACCACACGTCTTCGATCCATGTAGACTGGCTCTACAAGCTCACAAACAAAGAACTGCAGCAAATAACAGAAATCACATCACTTAAGGACTACCAACAGCAGCAACAACTAAAATGGATAGCACATAGAACTCGAAGAGAAAACAATGACATAATCAAGATGATGAAGTTCCACACTACTTCAAATAAAAGGTTAGGAAGGAAACCCCCCATCAATACTGGAATAGAGCGATAAAAGCTACTGGACTTGAGAAATTTATTTTCTTGAAAAATTGTTTTAAGAGAAAGATTTTATAAATTTCAACAGATAGCAATTCTGGCTGCTCGGTCAATGAATGTTTCCGTGTAAGGAAACAGTTGATATTACCATTACCATGCAAACAAAAGCAATTGTAATAATTTACATTGGAAAATCTTACGCGAAAACTCCTCAATTTTAAAATCTTTACCACGAATCCCATAACAGGGCCGTAGGAGAACCAGATGTCAGAGAGTTTGACTGAGCGTCTCCCTGTTTGAACTGATTTTAAAGTCAAAATTGTCTTTCTCCGAGACTAGCTGCCAATCAAGGCAAGAGAGCCGATTCTGACTTGGAGGAAGTTTAATTCAATCCTTTCCCTTTAGTGCGAAATGAATGACACATACCTGATCATAAATTGAAGACCCTAGTTTCACTTTCCGGCTTTCCCTTACTATTTACGCTACCCGCATATACTGGTGCTACAGAATCGCAAACAAAAATCTCTACTAAATAAAAGAAACCACATCACTTGAAGACTTCCAACAGCGGCAACAACTAAAATGGATAGCACACGTAACCCGAAAAAGAAATAATGACATCATTAAAACGTTGACGTTCCACACTACTTTAAATAAAATGTCATTAATAAAAAATAAAAAAAGACTTTCGAAAGCTCAAGCCGTTAGACCGAAATGCACACCCTTTAAAAACAGGGAGGTTTACTCATACACGAGTATCCACTAAATATAACATGGCCCAGTGGTTAAAGACGTTGGTTAGATCCAGTGATTAGACCGGTTCCTACTTGATTCTTCGCGCTTAGTTTTAGTTAGGGACTTAGAATGCCATCCTGGACTCCAAGACAGAGGGGCGGGGAGTTAGCGGAAGGTCATTGAGTGATAGTAGCCTGATCTGATAGGCAAGTAGATATCGAATCGACTAGACCGAAAGAGTTGTGAGTTCAATACCAGGCTACAGCAGTAGTGAACAAAAAAAACTTGGAGAGTTGAGTTAAAGGCAAATAACTGAGGCATGGCACGTGGAAATAAAACTCCCTACTCCGGTGGACGAAATAAAGGGTTCGATCCGAAATTCCAATCATCTGAAGAAGCCTAAAGCGTACAACGGTCGAAACGTTGTGAACATGACAATGAAAATGAGGATAACAATCCGAATAGCGTAAATAATCTAAATGCGCACTTTTAAAAAAACCGTGAGGTTTACTCAAACACGTGCATACACTAAACATAATGTTTAAAGAATAATAAGTTTTGTCAGATTATAAATAAAATCTATTAACTTATATATAAGCCAGATGATTTCCGTTAGATTGAGGACAAAAAATGAATAAATATTCTTTCAAAATTATGACTTAAATAATTTTGAAACTACCAGCGTCTCTCGTTTCGTGTGCATGTGCAGACGCGGCAACGTCAACAAAGCCCAGTTCGATGAAATCCTAATGGATGAAACAAAAAACCTCTTCAGTTTGTCATATATATATATATATATATATATATATATAATAGCTGGCCACTCGTATTCCGGGATGTGTGTTTACTACGGCGGCAAGCCAATCGCTATTTAGGACGCCGGCCAGGCGCATTTCTTTTTGTTCAACAACCACAGAGCCCACCTGTAGTTTATACTGCAACTATGCTGAGCAGGCCTTATTTACAGTATGTGGGAGAGAGCGTGAATCTGAACAAGGCCAGCACGTTCAAACCAATTTCCCTCACAAGGCTTGGATCACCCCATGGTATGGTTTCAGGCACCTTACAAGGTGCCGCACGTGAATCGGCTCCTCCAGGCCTATAACATGATATATATATATATATATATATATATATATATATATATATATATATATATATATAAAAAATTTCTCAGAGTTAACCTGTAGTGTATATATAAATAAATATATATATATATATATATATATATATGCACGTTTCATTAAATAATATAGACAGGTGTTGTCTATTTATTTTATGTAAATTTTATTAAATAATATTTATGTTGGTCACACCACAAACTCGCTTTCACGACGCTTGACACTACATTTGAATGAAAACTCTAACATTTTTAGGCATTTAAAACAACATGCCTGCCCGCACACACAATTCCGTAAAATACTTGTCGAAAACACAACTATACTTCGACATGAAAACAATAGACAAAAACTAAAAATACTTGAAGCATTATACATCAAACAGTTAAAACCAACCTAAACAAAATCAGTTATGGCATCTCTACAAATATTCTTAAATGTCTATAATTGGTAACAGAAGCCATTGGTTTATTCCAACGGCTTTCCTTACTTCATTCTCCAATTCACTCTCGTGTGGTCATAATGTGACGTCATGAGATGCGGTGCGATTTTCGCTTCTAGCGTTTTTATGCGCGTGTTTATCGTTGCTTAGAAATCATCTATGTAAAACAATGACAGACTATCATCACTGTTTGTCCGTATATTGTTTAATATGTTGTAATTGACATCTTTGATAGTGGCTTATGTAAGCCGAAAGCTTAGATTGTATTAAAAAAATATGGATCAATATTGTGAATTTCTTTCTTCGTTCAACGATAATGTTATTACATTTATCAGACGTTACGAAAAGATTTTACATAAAATAAATAGACAACACTTGTCTATATTATTTAATGAAACGTGTATAAATGAAAATATATATAAATACACACAATATATATATATATATATATATATATATATATATATATATATATATATTAAGACCTTGAACAAGTTTTCGCTGATTTTTATGCAAAGTATTGTTTTATTTAGAAAAATTAGTAACATATCACAGAAAATATTGTCCATCGCTAGCTCCTATTTTTTCCCATCTTTTTGGTAGTATTTGCATTCCACGTCGGAAAAAACGACCCGTCTTTTTGAGGCTAACCACGAGTCGACTGATTTTTGGGAAATTTTCGTAAGAATGAAAGTGCTGCTCAACCAGTCCATGGGCCATGTATCAGAACAAATGATAATCAGACGGGGCAATGTCTGGTGAACACGGCGTGTGGGAAGGACTTCCCATTTAAGCGTTTCTAAGTTGGTTTTCCCCCGTTTTGCAACATGTGACCTAGCGTTGTCATGTTGCAAAATCACTTTGTCGTGTCTCTGCTCGTATAGCGTTTTTTCTTCAATGCTCAACTCAAACGCAATCAATTATAGTCGATATCGATCTCCCGTGATGGTTTCGGTTTGTGCGGCTCATAATAGACTACACCCAACTGATTCCACCAAATGCAGAACAAAGATTTCGAAGCATGGATATTCGACTTGCCGCCGATGTTGATGCATGGCCAGGCTTACTCCACGATCTTCTACGCTTAGAGTTATCGTAGTGCATCCACTTTTCATCGCCGATCATGATACGATGCAAAAAACTTTCCTTTACTGCCGTTGAAGCAACTGTTCACACTTGACAAGACGCCGTTCGACGTCTCTCGGCTTAAACTCGTACGGCCCCCAATGTCTTTACTTTTGAATCATTCCTAAAGCTTTCAAATCTTTCCAAACTGCTTGGTGATCAACTCCTAATGATTCTTCAAGTTCAGCTTGCGCCTAACATGAGTCCTCGTGAAGTAATGCCTCCAATTCTTCGTCTTCAAACTTTTTTTGTTGTGCCAGAGCGTTCTTTATCTTCAACATCAAAATCATTATTTTTGAAGCGTCTAAACTAATCTCTTCACGTTTTTTCCCCGACAGAGCATGGTCGCCGTAAACCTCAACAAGAATTCTGTGTGCTTCAACTGCAGATTTCTTTTGAATAAAGAAGCGCAGTAAAATTCCCCCCAGATACACTTTCTTTGGCACAAAATCCGACATGTTTAACGTTGTGAAACACAAAGTTCTTTACACTTAGGCGAAATGACATACATTGAATTTCAAGCTAGCTTATACTACATCCTTATAGATGTGTTTTAATCCATTGAAGCCATATGGACGCAGTTCTGGAGAACGCCATCATTTGAAAAAAACAGCGAGAATTTATTCAATGCCCTAATATATATATATATATATATATATATATATATATATATTGAGTAAATTGCTGATACCCCATGAAGAGTGGACGGACAGGTCCGCCCACGAAACTCTGGAGTCGGGATGCTGAAGCTAGCATCTATCAGCCTTTGATGAACTTATACTTATTTTAGTGATATATATATATATGTATATATGTGTGTGTGTGTGTGTGTGCGCGAGTGTGCGTGCGTGTTGACGTTTCGGCCTTTCAGTATCTGTCTATATTTCTGAATAAAGGCAAAAGGAGAAGGCTATCTTAGTCGACGCGTTTCGTTCTCTGATGGACTTTATCAAGGCAAATGCAAGGATTTTATTTTTGCATCAAGTATTCATCATCAGTAGATGTTGTAGTTGAATTTTTATATAATGTAATTTATAATTATTTTATTTTTGTTTGGGATTAATTTATGCATTGCATATTTTAAATAATAGGTTATAAATATAACCGTTTCCTTTTAATTTTTTAACATTTTCATAGTCTTGTATGTTGGCTTGAGAAAGGAGTAATTCTTTCAGGAACGGAGATATTGGAAAAATCCAGGGCAGAGATTTAGATTTTAATAAGATTGGATAGCGTCACCCTCAATGAGTTTTAAACTTGTAAAATAATTGATTCCTGTATTATAATTCGATGAACTTTTGTTAAAAATAATGAGGAAGGGTTCAATTCAGTTTATTTTTTTTTTTTAAACTGTCACTCCGAAGTTTCTAAAATCGTATATAATTATAGCAGTACAATGACTTTCTGGAACCTTCTAGAACTTGCTAGAGTCTTCTCTAACTTTATGGAAGTGGACGGAAGTATTAAAGAAGGGATCCAAAGTGACCAGCACTTCCCTTCAGCAGCAGCATAAAGAAGCAGCAAACTGAGCAAGAGGCCCAGCTGGGGAGGGAAAACAGTAGAGGTAAGAATGAAGGAGATACCTTCATCTCTGAAAAGGGGGAGAGTGGAAGTAGAAGAAGAACAAGAGGGAAAAAAATCACGAAAAAAATAAGCTAGCTGAGATCGAAGAAGCAAAAAAAAAAAAAAGAAACAGTGAAAAACCATGGCTCAATCTGTCCCGGCTTCGTTAATCAAGAAACAAGAGGAAATTACCTTGGGATATCCTTCTTCCTATCTGAAAGCACCACTGCCCCCCCCAGGCACCATTCCCAATACCCTCATCCTAACCCCCCCATAATACCACTGCAGCCTACAACATTGCTACTCCTCCCGACAAACCCCTTTCCACTAGCACAACGCCCAGCGACTCCCCAAAGCCCAGCGACTCCCCAACGCCCAGCAACTCCCACCAGAGTTCTTCTCATAAAAAGAAATTCCTGAGGTGGGGTAAGATCGTGTCAAATAGACAGGCGGGAAACAGAAATGAACATTTTAAAACAAAAGAGAACGCTGTTAAAACCCTTATTGAAAACAATGTCAGTAGACGGACGCTCTATCGAAGACCCCCGAAATTTCCCCAAGGCTGCTGAGGTAATAACTTGGATTAGGAACATAAGCAGAAATTTACAGTGTGCGATCATCTACACGAAGCAAAGGATGCCTTTTTCGGAGATCCGTATGGTGGAAATAAGAACTCCGGACCGGAAAAAGCTACAAAAATATTGTGCGGCGAGGGTCCCAGTAATACTCCATCCTTCATGATATAGGGCCTTAAAACTGACCTATCCCGCGGACGTCAGCGGCATTGTCCTGGATGGTCGCATGACGACAGAGATGAGGACAGGGAGCCTGGGTCAACCCGTCGGGGTTGTTTCATCGGCAGATTTCCGTCCAGTCTGTGACTTGAGGAATCAATTTGAAAAATGTTCCTCAAGATAGCTAGTTTGAATGCGAGGGGCTTGAGAAATTGAAGTAAAGCCACCCGCCTGCTTCGTGATCTGATGTCCTTCGGCGTAGAAGTAGCTGCGATCCAGGAAACGCACTTTGTTTGTGAGGTTGATACTGGTTTGTTGTGTAGCTACTATGTTTTCTATTCAGCATACGTGGAGCAGCCGGCCAGAGGTGTTTCCTTGCTGGTTAAACGTACCCTGGATACGAAGGTGAACCTTGTCCATGTCGATGCGGGGAGGTTGATCGTGGCCGATATTGCCGTGAACAGTAACTTGTTTCAGGTCATTGTGGTTTATGCACCCAGCGATCAGGGGGAGCGTGTCTCGTTTTTCCGGCTGTTGGGGCCGTACATGGTTGATTCTTCGCGCTTAGTCTTAGTTGGGGACTTGAAATGCCATCATGGACCCCAAGACAGTGGGCGGAGAGCTAGCGGGAGGTCATTGAGTGATCGTAGCCTGGTTGATCTGATAGGCAAGTTTAGTCTCGTCGATAGATAGCGGATCGATCACCCTGGGCGGGAGATGTGGACGTGGACTCGTAAGTGGCCGTCTACTCAGGTAGCCAGCTACCTGGATAGAATGTTAGTGAAAAGGGCCGATATAAACTTGTTAGATTGTCCCACGTTCCAGGCTATTCGGTTCATAGACTCGTCTGTGCCCGAATAGCGTTAGATGCTAGGCCTAGAATGTCTGGACACTGGAAGTTCAATCTGTCTTTACTGTACAGGCGGGATTTCCAGCAACATCTAATTAGACAAGTGCAGCGAGAACGAGTGGGGGCGGTTATTTGAAGTAGGTGGTGGGAGATGCTTAAGGATAGGATTAGGTCCTTCACCACCGAATATAGCAAGCGGCTCGAACTAGATAAGGCTAAAAAGGAGAAGACACTTATAGTCTCTCCCTGGCGGAGTCTGGGGGGGACTCCCTAAAAATAGGTTTAGCTCGGCAGGCTCTGGAGCACGCTGCTAACAAGCGCTACCAGGATCAGATAGAAATAAGTTAAATAAGTTGTCTAACGAAGCCGTGAACATGGGCGCACAATTGAAGGAAGAGTTTCGGCGAGTTTCCGATCGTTACCTTCATGAGATTAAGACCCCGGAATGGCGTACTCTGAGGCGTTTTGGTGGCATTTCGAGAGCCGGTTTACCAAGGACCCTGGTCTCAGTGACGATGAGTTTCGCAGCTATTTGGCTGACTTTCCTCGGCTTTCGCCGTCTGGAGTGGCTAGCTGCGAGGATGAGATCACGAAGGATGAAATCTACTTGGCATTGAAGAGGGTTGGCAGTGGCAAGTCTCCGGGAATTGATGGTTCCGGCAGAGGTTCATCCCCAATCGGACCACTAATGGTGTAATCATGCTGTTGAAAAAGAGCAAGGATCGTGGGCGGGATTTAGATCATTACACGCTCATAACTCTGTTAAACACAGAGTTAAAGATTTTGGCCAAGACCCTGACGGAGTGTTTGCAGTTATTTACCTGTTGGAACCCGATCAGACTTGTGCTGGGAAGGGCCGAAAACTTCAGAGCAACCTGCATCTGATCCACACGATCCTAGAGGTTGTAAAAGATGACGAGCAAGCTGCACTGATCAATTTGAATCTGTCCGAGGCATTTTATAGGGTCGACCATCGGTATCTGACTGCTGATTCAAACCCGACTCCTGCAAGTAGATTAGCCTCCTGTATCGCTCGTCCAGTGCTGTGGTACAGATAAACGGAAAGCGGTCGCGCGTTTTTGCGGTGTCTCTGTCGGTTCGTCAGGGTTGTCCACTGTCACCCCTACTTTATGCTTTGGCGTTGGATCCTTTCCTTCGCCAGCTGAGGGACAGGTCGAGCTGTCTGGCCCTACGTGGAATCTCTGTCCCTGGCGGGGCTCGAGCCAGGGTTTCATCGTACGCCGATGACGTATCAATTTTGGCGCAGTGCCGCAGCGACATTCAGGTGGTACAGAATGTGCTTGAACGGTACGAAAAGGTCACATATGCCAAGATTAACCGTAACAATTTTTTTGCCTTGCAGTTAGGTGCCTAGAAAGGGGTCTCTCTTCCGGGGCCCTTTGGTCGGACGGGCGGTCCTGTCCGCATTCTTGAAGTGTGGTTTGGATCCAACCTCCCACTAGAGAAAAATTGGTCAGAAGTACAGGCAAAGGTCGGAGCGTCGGTCCGCACTTGGCTCCGAACGAGGTTGTCTTTGAAGGGTAGAGCTGAGGTGTATGCTACTTACGTCTTTTCTCTCGTCCATTGCCAGTTGTCTGTACTTCCTCTTTGCAAAGACCATAGGAAGGCGATCGAGCGCTTGTTGTTCATCTTTTTGTGAGGTGGGCGCAAGCAGAAGGTCCGTAAAGCCTGTGCCCAACGTCTGTTTCTTGTCGGGGGGGGATTGGCTGGGATTGCCACACTTGATGAATCATCGATCCTTACTATTACTCATCCCATTTCTTGGGCTAAGCGCCATCGTAGATCCGGGAAATTTTCGACACTCCTCAACGAGTATCGAGTGGCCTTTAGGGATTTTCCTCTGTCCAGTGACCTTTAATGGCACTGAAATGTCTTGTATCGTAAATTAGTGGAGGGGTTGTTTAAGGACCGTCTCTGTGAACGGCTCGGCTTGTCCCTGGCCGAGTTGCGTTCTTTCTGGTTTTACCTCAGTAACCATGAGTTTTTGCTTACCTGGTGATTGATTCAAAACGTGCTATCTCTCAATGACATGGCCTTCAGATGGGGCTGGCTGGATTTGCCCCAGTGTTACCAGTATGACCTTGGTTCAGAAGAAACGGCTTCGCACGCCTTCTACTATTGTCCTCAGGTACACACTTTCTGGGACTATGTTGGCTCGTATTGTGCTAATCAAATTCGCATACACGTGCGACAACGCGTCACCCCCGTATTCTGGGATGAAACGAATGCTGTTTCTAACGTTGCTAGCAGTGGCAAGTATGGTGATCTGGGGGACACGAAAGGAGGGAATCTTGCGACACGAACGCTATTCTCCTCAGGCTCTGGTCGCATCAGCTGAAAGGGAAAATCAGATCTGATAGAAAAAACGTTTGGTATCGACAGATTTTAACGAAAGGTGGGTGAAAGTAGCGAGCTTGGCTCGTATGAAAGAGGCTATCCTTGAGTTCCTTTTTAAAGCCCTCTTCGTCACAACGGGGCGAATTCTTGTGAACCCCCTTCTGGTTAAGTTTGAATCTCTTTTGTGTACCTAGTTAATGTGAGTCTATTCACGGCTTCTTCTTTGGGTTATGATCCAAGTGGAGATTCCAGTTTGTTTTGGACCCTTTTAATCTCGACTGGTGCAGTCTTTGATTTCCCCACGCCCACATGTATTTTATCCTTCCCATTCCGAGAGATAGCTTCTTCATTCTGTTTGATGAAAGAATACAGGGGCAACTCTTATTTTTTGAGCTGAACGGGTCCTACTAGCATTTTACAATTGTTATATTTTGTGTGTAATTGGGATTCAGACCCCTTCATTTCGTATCATATATATATATATATATATATATATATATATATATATATACAGGGTGTTTCAAAAAATTTGATATTATTTCGCAATCTAATAACTTTGTTAGATCTCCTTCAAATGACTTCAAATTTTAATAGCATCTTTATGTTTAAGGTTTGTTTCATGTTTTTATGTCTTTATGTTTTTGTGTTTTTCTTATTTGTATTTTTATGTTCTTTAATCTTTAATCTTTTTCTTTACAGGTATAAAAATGCTATTTACTAGAAGAGAAAAGGCGTTTTGTGTGTTCACATAATCCACATGCTTTTGAATTTCTCATTCAGATTTGGAAGAATAAATCTTATGATCTTCAACATTAATACTTTTTAATTTCATTTGCCTTAATCATGTACTTTCTGTGATATTTACATCTCAAAGGATATCAAATTTTTTGAAACACCCTTTATATATATATTACGAACATTTGTACCATAGGAAATTTTTAAATCACGGGGTTTATTTTGTAGGTTCCCTTTGTTTATGAGGTATTGTGGTATATGTAGGAATAAAAGATAAAGGATGTCTTTTTTTGGTATATGTGTTATTTGTATTGAATGAATGGGTCGCGAATCGGATTAGCTAGGTATAGGGTAGTTAATGATGACCTGCATCAACCCACTTCCCACATTTTTGGCCATGTGCCATAATTACTGTATTTGGGGGTCTTTATTTAATTATATACATTTGATTCCTCGTTCTTACTTTATAAATACAGAGTAGGTTTAAAAGTTTATACTGAACAAAAGATTTAGCTTATCATCCAACCAAAAAGGTGCGAATATAAAGAATTTCATCACTTTGTATTTGTGATTTCTCAGATGACATAATTCATCAAACTTTTCATTTTTTTTTATTAAGTTGTATATTATGCTATTTGCATAAAAATATATACATTCTATCTAATTACATCATTAACAAATTGAAAAAATAAAACATCTGAAATATTTTAATTTTTTAGTCTTACTGTGCATATGCTAAAATCGAATTTTCGGTTTGTAGCTAGACCCTTTTCAAGGACTAAAACAAATCAATAACTTTTTCATTACTTTTGAACAAAAGTTCATCGATTATGACGCACGAACATATGGTTACAAAAAGTCATAACCCATATATATATATATATTTATATATATATATACACTTTAAAAATCAAGAGATCAATTATAATCCGCGACCATGGTTTCGACCTTATGAATCCTTCGGGCGATACTTTTAAAATGTATTTTAAAAGTATCGCCCGAAAGTAAAAAACTCTACATGTTATTTGTATTTTTACTTATATTTTTTTTCTCACGTATATCGAGCACTTTTTAATACTACTGTTTCTAGTCTGATTCAACTCTCAATATTAGCTCATATATATATATATATATATATATATATATATAGTAAGCAATATACATAATATCTTACACTAATTGCACAGCTACGAGTTTCATGCCGAAGCAATTTTCAAGTGCTGGAATTATTATTTTATTTATATTTTGGGTCGGCAAAATATAAATAAAAAAAAAATATATATATATATATATATATATATATATATATATATATATATATATATATATATATATATATATATATATATATATATATATATATATATATATATCCAGTCTAACTAAAAAAATCTCTTTCCTCGGAAATCTGATATTTGGTCATTTGGTCGTATTTTATAAGGTAGGATGAGGCGATTACTTTTCAGCATCTCCGCATGTAAAATTATTAAAACTATGCTATCACAGGTTGCATAAAGAATTTGTAGTTTAATAACGTAGATATTTTTTCTAGTGTAGTTTTAAAATTTCTAATTTTCTTTAATATGTCTTTATTTATTGTGTTTTTCATTTCTTCTTTTTGGGCCAGGCCATTTTTATTTCAATTTTTCTGTTTTCATTTCTCGTTCTATGGCTGTTCTTTTTCGTTTTTTTTTTTTTTTTCTCCATTCCTAATAGCCTCTCTATTCTACTCATTCTTGTTTGGTTTAAGTTATAATCAAGGATCCAACGGTACAAAAAAATAAAGAAATTTCAGAATATCATTTTATAGAAATTCTTTCTTCTGCAGGCAAATTACAAAACTACAAACAAGTCGAATCGAGAAAAAAAATATGTTCGTCCGGCTCGACCAGCAAAATACGAATCAAATATTTCGCTTTCAATCTGGGATCTTGTGGAATCAATAAGTAATTATGAGACGCCATGACATAGCGTTGCTTTTCCCATTTCTCTCTTTCTCTTTTTCTCTCATTCTCTCTCTTCCTTTCATTCTCTTTCTCTCTTTCTCTCATTCCCGCTCTTCCTCTTTTCCTCTCTCTCTCTCTCTCTCTCTCTCTGATTTTCATTCTCTTTCTCTCTCTCTTTCACTTCGCCGCCATTTTAGCTACCTGATTGTCATAAGTCGCGTGTAACTCTTCACGTTTGTTTTTCCGTTCGATTCTTGTCATATGGAAGGCCTTGCAAATCACTTTCAGGAATTGTTTTCAATCTCATAAAATAATAATACTTTCTTTATAATAACAAGTATTTGGGGGTCTTTATTTAATTATATACATTTGATTCCTCGTTCTTACTTTATAAATACAGAGTAGGTTTAAAAGTTTATACTGGACAAAAGATTTAGCTTATCATCCAACCAAAAAGGTGCGAATATAAAGAATTTCATCACTTTGTATTTGTGATTTCTCAGATGACATAATTCATCAAATTTCAGGCAGACGGGATTAATGTATTTTATACTATCTAATCACCACCCCTCTTTAAAAAAAAAAAACATGGCTCAAAATATATCTACCAGGTTAAGTTGGGTATTTAAACCTTTGAGCCCTGAACACCGCTTTACTGGTGATAAAAAAATGACGTAATGCCCAGCCACAGGTTGAACAGTGGTAGAGAAAAATGACTTAATGCCTAACCACCGGTTGAGCGATGAGTCAACACTTGTAACTATTTTTATATCTACCGTGAAACATTACATACCAATTATTTGCGAATTTTATTGACTCAGAAGCTTAGGCAGAAGGGTTCAAATTGTTCAGGAGTCCAGGGATCAAAGGGTTAATAAGCTAATGTTTACTCTGACGTCGTAGTATTTGATCAGGTCTACCAGTACGTGATCAGGTCTAACTCTATAATATTAATATTAAATATAAATGAGGGAGACTTATATACTATCAAATACGGCAACACAATCATGAGACGCGTAACCCATTAAAGTCGTAAATGTACCACATGTACAGTAGCCGTGGGCGCCTCTCGAGCAAGATCATCTGACAAATCCCATCACTCTTCAGGCTGGTATTAAAGTTAGATTTTTCCTTTTAATAGACTGGTTTCTAACCAAATCTAGAGAAAATTGTCTACCCTGTTATTTAGATAGATAGATAGATAGATAGATAGATAGATAGATAGATAGATAGATAGATAGATATGAACAGAGATTATATGAACTGGCTGATAGATAGATAGATAGATAGATAGAGAGAGAGAGAGAGTGATAGATAGATATCAACAGAGATTATATGAACTGACTGATAGATAGATAGATAGATAGATAGATAGATAGATAGATAGATAGATAGATAATATGAACTGGCTTATACATAGATAGATAGATAGAGAGAGAGAGAGAGAGGGTGGGTGAGTGATAGATAGATATCAACAGAGATTATATGAACTGACTGATATATAGATAGATAGATAGATAGAGAGAGAGAGAGAGAATGAGTGATAGATATCAACAGAGATTATATGAACTAACTGATAGATAGATAGATAGATAGATAGATAGATAGATAGATAGATAGATAGATAGATAGATAGATAGATTATTTCTATGCGTGTGAATACATAGGTAATTATTTCTCTATAATATATCCACATGCGCATATCACAATCAGCATAACGAGTCACGTAATCCTATTATGGTTGCAGGGATACCAACTATTCTGAAGCCATAGCAACAATGCATGGGTCTACAACATGATCGTTTGAAGGAAGCCCATTCTTCTTCAAGCTGCTTTTAAATTCAGAGCTCCTTCGTCCAGGCCGCTTTCCCTACAAAGAGACTAATCTGCTTTATTCGCGATGGTCCTCATTTTCCTATATAATCGACATTGTTATTTTATCCATAGCTGGAGGAAGACGAACCTATGCCTTTTTTTTTTGGGCATCAGTGCGAAGTGAACGAAATAGACATTGGTTGTCTAGTGAATTAAGATGGGCTACAGTAAATATCCTATTACGTATCATAGATTTAAGCAGTCCTCAATCAGTTAATCATGTCCTATGGGGGTGACGCACTCTGTATATCTGTTCATGAATGGGAGTAGCGAGACAGAATCATGGCCGGGTGTCTTGATTGTTGTTTAACTAAGTCTGAAGGACGAGATAGATGACGGATTATGCATCTCTGTTCACCAGGGTGAATAGTGGGGAGCATCATGTCTGGATGTTGTGAGGGTTGTTTTTTTTATTTTTATTTTGAAGGATGAGGCATCCAAGGTGACTGTGTGGTAATCTAGATACTTGGGAATACCCTCAATCGGAGAGCGTCTGAATGGCCTAGGTTAACCAACCTGAGGGGGGGATTTCTAAGCCCTTCCTGCGAAGTTATGCGCTATTTACCTCCCGGGCGCAAAGACAAAACATACCAACGGCCGTAGTCGAGAATGTTCTCATTTTCTTATCTGCGATACACACAATACATTTAGGTTCACCGCTAGACATCGCGGTCAACCACAATGTCGTAAGATTCTGGGGAAACCCAAATCAATGCCACCGAGACAGCACATCGGTCCCAACGGAGGTGGGAAAAAAGAGTCGGATGACCCGCAAGGAAAAGAGAGACCCGCAAAATTAGTAGAGATAGAGACTGAAGACAAAATGGGGTTGAGGGTCGCACATGGACTGAACATCGTAGCAATCACGAAGTTTTCTAGAAAATGGAAACAAAAAGGATACTTATTCTTCATATAAGAAAGAGACAGTTGAAATCTTTGAAGATCGTAGTTGACAGGAAAGCAGGAAGCTGCAAGAGAATTCCACAAGTGAGAAATGCAATAGAAGAAACTATTAGCATAGAACTTGCGGTTACAACTAACAATTTCCACAGGGAAAATATTTGACGCGTTCGGAGGAGGAGAGGCGTATTGAACAGGGATCTAGTCTTATTCTTCCTTATGGAAGGTGATTTGGTATACTGCAATATCAGTGGTCATATGCAAAAACAGAGGAATGGGGACTGTTCATTGATTCCTTGAAAATAAGTCTCAAAGCTGTCTTGTTAGACAATGGTAATGTTTTATCTTCAATACCAGTTAGTCTTGCAGTCCACATGAAAAAAACATATGACATGAAACAATTACAATCAACATAACTGGAAACTTTGCAGAGGTTTGAAGATTGTTGCTCTCTTGCTAGGACCACATGGCGTATATGACGCATTCCGCACAGGAGGGGGGGGGCGTATTCAACATTTGATAATTTTATGGCAATACACGCTTAAAGGTTTTAGGCAGTTTTGATGAGCATTTCTTTTCATGGTTAGCCGTAAGTAAAAATAATAATGTTTATTAAGAATTTATTACAGGAAATATCAAGTTTTACGGAAATATTGTTGTCTATGTATTTAGTTACATAGTAAATAAATAAAAATAATATAAATTTTGATGCTATAGTCGATTTGATTTGTTGTTAAGTATTTTTCACTTTCTCCTTTGTTATTGGCAGCATTTTAGAATACTTTGGCTACAATGCTAAGTATCCTAAGTTGAACAAACTGGAGCTATTTCATTTACGCTTTGTTACCTCTCTTTTCCATTGTTGTTTTTAGATTCATTTCTTCCAGTCAATTTGATAGGCAATAGCAAGATTCTGAAATTTGGAATGAACTTATTCCATTTAAAAAATAAAGCCTGTAAAAAGGAATATTCTAAATTGATATACAACCAAAAATAAAATGCTTTTAACAAAAAAACTTTAATGATTTCACTATAATCATGTAACAATAATGTAATATTCCACAGATAAATCTATGGTTTATGTTACCTCATCTCATCGCATGGTTACAAACTATAAACCTAAGTTGAGCTTGAAATATTGTGTAATCGCCTCTAATTTTTTGTAAAATACTTGGATATGATATAATGAATAATTTGCAATGAAACAAGCAATTTTCGTTTTTTTGTTGAATATGCCTCTCTACCGCCGATTGCGTCATTTATAGAAGAGGCAAAGGGGAGCTACTTTACGACAGTGGGAAAGTTAATTGTTGTGGAGTGGTTTCACAGTGGAGGCGTGTATTTGTACTAAGTCGGTCCTAAAATAGGTTCGACGTACAAAACGTTAGGAACTTGATATAATAGGTAATGACGCAGAGAAATCTAGCGGTGGTCGCTGATACTTTAGTATCCGACTAACGGTCGTCCGGCATCGACTGACTGACGGAACCACTGAGCGAGGGTATTTAGTCCCCCCACCACGTGGGCATCATGTGGCACAAAGCCGGTTTAACGTGGGATCTCCAAGCCCGTGGGCTCGGCCAAAAATATGCCCATTTAACCCGTATAAACGGGTTCAGGGTCGGTTTACCTCCCTGAAAGAGAATCCGTCCTTCGACGTAGCCTCGTTCTGGTTCCTCCCCGCCCGAAGGCAGAGTGTTCAACCGGTCAGCCGGTCGTCTGACTTTAGACTGAACTCAGACCGAACCGCTGAGCGACTACCTCGTTACTCTTACTACTGCTAGTTATTATAGGTGGGAGAGTCTATTAACTATAGAATAGGTGTGTTCCACTATAATATTAATGATGCCGAGATGTCAGGTCAGAACCAATAACATTGACGATTCTTCTTTGGATTTTCTCAAGAATCTCTAGAGATAAAATAGAAGTAGCAGTTAATGTGGCAGCAATATTCGATGTATCTCCTTCGTGAATCATCAGCTTGACATGGTGGCGGAGCTTGCGCGTCTTGAGGAAAATGAATTCAATGCTGTCTCCTGATAGGGAAATCTATGACGGTAAGGAATCAGGGAAGGGACCAGACTAAGCACGGTCAGACGCCCAGCGGGTCGGCGGTCAAGGCGGCGTTGTACGTACGCGAAAAAGCCGGCAGCCCGATTCAAACTTGTCATAATGAACCTGCTTGTCAAATCCAGGTTTACCGCAGCGGATGGTATCAGCTGAAGTCTGTGTGTCATGGAGTGGCGAACCATGGACCATCTCAAGCAATTCGCAACCAAGGCTTACGTACTCTGTGGCAGAACCCTATCATGAACAACGAAGTCCGCATCGGCGCAAACATGGCGAGCCTAGAAACCATCGTGACTCGCCACCGACTTCGATGAGTCGGAGACATTGCCCGAATGCCAGACATGAGCCAACCCAAACAAATCCTCTTCTCGGGGCTTGAATGTGGCAAGAGATCACGTGGATCCCCACGTCGTCGATCCAAGGATCAACTCAAAAACACATTGATGAGGATAGAAATCGATCCGGGAATTTTGGGAGACGGAAGCTGCAGAAAGGGCCAATTGGAGGAGAGCGGTCAACGAAAAAAAAAAACATCTTTTGAAAACAGCAGAAGGTAAATAGAAGCAACGAAGAAAGTTCAAAGAAAAGTCAGAGCTATCTATACCTTCTCTACCATACGGTGGCTGAGGACATCTCTTCGCATGCAACATGGGACTCATTTCGCACAGTAGGAAATATCGATGTGCACCCCATTACTCGGCAACGAGTTCCGCCAACGACGAAGATTCGATGCACAGACGAATGGTAGACTTACAAACCTCGCGCGAAAAAATGTCTAGCACGGCATAGTGATCTGACTTTCCCAGCAGGAGATCAATGTTATCCAACTATACATATGTCCTCATCAGAAAATGCATTTTTGCCGACGTCTGTTAATAAATGCGGCACTTTACAAGTTTAAGGGCATTTTTGACAGCAGGCAAATGTCTAACGTGAAGTTAAACGCTTGTATTATTTTCTGTATTGGCTATAAATGCGGAACAGCTTCCGCGAAGTGGGCAGTTAGTTTTGATTAAACACTTATTGTTTTCATTTCAAAATCTATTCAATGTCTGTAATGGACCGCCGTAGAACTTGGTGAATGACTCTTTAAGCATCTGTATGTACCATAGTTCTTTCTCCAGAAGATTGGTTGATCCGAGATTCTTGCAAACGGGGACCCAATTTGAAATCACAAACGTTATGGAAAATCATTTTTTTTTTCTTCTTTTGAGAATATCAGTGCTTTGATGCGAGTGAAAGCTGACTACGGATTTAAAAAGACTTGAAAACCTGTTACATCTGGCACCTTTATGATAGATATATCAATGGGGAGGCAAACAGGTTTGAGGAAGCGGAAGAAAGATAAAAATTATACGGACCTCGCGCGAGATTTTGATTGGGTTAAGAATAATTTAAAGCAACTGGGACTGGGATTAGAGGAATTAAAAAGTCGAGAAAGAGATTAATGTTCTGTCTTCCTTTAATCAGCAAGAATATTAAGAAGTAAGAGATCGGTGGGAAATTATTGCCACTTGATCGTCATTAATCACTATCGGAGAAATTCTAGCGTAAAGATACATAATTGGGTAATTTCTTTCGGGTCCATAATAGTGCCAAATTGGCTTAATGATAATTTTATGTCAGGTAAAACATGAACAGAATTTTAGGTATGATTTATTCTTGATAATGGCTGAAAGCGCATCGATGTAGAAGATATGGATAGTTTCTATAGATGTTATCTCCAAAAAAGTTAATACTTATACGAAAAAAATAAAGATTGAATAAAATAGATAATCTCAATAACTTGTCCGTCATCTTTAATGAAACCTGTATAAAAGAGGGTTTGCAGCCCAAATACACAATTAATTTTTAATCAACTTCACCTTAAGTAAGGCAGTAAAGTTACTAAGGCACTAGGAGTTACTAGGTGTGGGAGAATTAAAAAAATATTATTTTCGAATATTATATATATATATATATATATATATATATATATATATATATATATATATATAATATTCGAAAATTTAAATGCAATATCAATCAATATCTACTGTCCTTATATATATACTCTTTCTTATATATAAAGTCATTCATATATATATATATATATATATTTATACATATATATTATATAAGAGTATATATATATATATATATATATATATATATATATATATATGTGTGTGTGTGTGTGTGAAAAGTGTGTGTATAAATAATATATATATATATATATATATATATATGTGTGTGTGTGTGTGTGTGTGTGTGTGTCTGTGTGTGTGTGTGTGTGTAATATATTATATATATTATTATTTATATATTATATGCGCGGTACTTATTAGAAAGCGCTCAATATCAGAGTCACAAACTCACATCAATCCAACTAAAAATATATATATATATATATATATATATAAATGCACAGTGAGTATTGATCATAATAAAACAGTGCTCGATGTATAACAGTTTATATATATATATATATATATATATATATATATATATATATATATACCGGCAGAGAAGGAGAATGAAGGTGAGAGGGTGTCACTTAATTTCGGAAAGAAAGAAAGAAAGAAAGAAAGAAAGAAAGAAAAGCGGAATAAAAGGAGGAAAAGAAAGAAAGAAAGAAAGAAAGAAAAACAGAATGAAATGAGGAAAAGTAGAAAGAAAGAAAGAAAGAAAGAAAGAAAAGCGGAATGAAAGAAAAAAAGAAAGAAAGAAAGAAAGAAAGAAAGAAAGAAAGAAAGAAAGAAGCGTTCGTATGCAGGAACCACCCTTGCGGTTTCCCATAAAACGCAGACATATGGTGACAAAGAATACGAAAGAGCAATAAATAGCTTCATTTCGCATCTTCGTCCAATTTGTTCCTATTAACTACTCTTTTGTCTTCTTGCCTGGTGAATACCTTCTGGTATAATTTCCCCTTCGTGTTTTTAGGCGGGAAAAGATATAGGCTAGTGTCAGTCATCACTTTAAATAGATGGCACTAGAAAGAAAATTATAATTAGAAATTATATTTGGCTACTTTCCTACCGATCACAATGCAAACGAATATATATATATATATATATATATATATATATATACATATATATATATATATATATATATATATATGTATGTATATATATATATATGTATGTATGTATGTATAATACATCTATTCTCTTATCCTTCAATCATTGTGACATGTCAATATTATAATACAGCAAATTTTAAAAGCAAAATAAAGATACAAATGTTCAAATTTCCATTATGCATTTAGCGTATGAAGTTATGTCGCGAATATAATATTGATATCTTAATGATTCTATCATTTAACACTTACTATGTTATAACAAATTTAGCATAGGAGATAAGGAAATTGAACAGAGGATAGTTTGTGCTATTACTAATTTTGTCTAACAGCGTAAGATACTACAAAACCAAAATAATAACCCAAGAACGTTATTCGTGTTCTTAAATAGCTTCGTCATATCAAGACTTCCATATTGGATGTCATGGTGATTGTCATAAATAGCTTCGTCATATCAAGACTTCCATATTGGATGTCATGGTGATTGTCATAAATAGCTTCGTCATATCAAGACTTCCATATTGGATGTCATGGTGATTGTCATAAATAGCTTCGTCATATCAAGACTTCCATATTGGATGTCATGGTGATTGTCATAAATAGCTTCGTCATATCAAGACTTCCATATTGGATGTCATGGTGATTGTCATAAATAGCTTCGTCATATCAAGACTTCCATATTGGATGTCATGGTGATTGTCATAAATAGCTTCGTCATATCAAGACTTCCATATTGGATGTCATGGTGATTGTCATAAATAGCTTCGTCATATCAAGACTTCCATATTGGATGTCATGGTGATTGTCATAAATAGCTTCGTCATTAAAAAGCTACCAAAATGTAACCATTATTTTGTGCTAGAGCTGCCCTTCTCATAAACTGGTTACCAACAACAGCTATAGATCCCAGTCTGCTCTACTATTTGACACATACCTGGGGAGAGAAAAGATAGATTCATACCTTTGTGTGCCAAAGTGAATGTCAATTTACATTCAAAAGTGACCAAAATGGAACAATAAATGTTTTGTACTATGAAGGTATGGTAAATTTTAAAAGTGCCATATTTGACGGCATATAAGGAGCACTTTTTTTTGCTAAAATATCTTTTAAAATTCTCCTACGTCTTAAATAGTTTTAAAATTCGCGATAGTCGGCCGAAATTATCTACCTGGCAACTCCTATTAGCTTAGACTTTAGAGTAACTTTCATATACCTATTGTCATTATTTAAAAGGCTATTATGCAGATTAAAATTGTTCTCATTCATAATATTCATTATATTAATTTCATCACATTTGATATTAGTACTTTGTTCCACTAAAATTATATGCAATAAATTCAAATTAAATATTTGTAAAATATATTTGTTTCATTAATATTTTTCTTGCGATGACTTCCTGTTGTATTAGTAGAAATACAATCAGAATTTTTATCTCCTAATTATTCCACTAAGACGTGGCCACCTCTAGGCGGTGTAATGGTTAGCAAGCTTGTCTCTCTAGAACAATTACAACTGAGTAGTGAGTTCGATGCCACCTACTTTCGGTCTTATGCTACATCTAAGCTACGCTTAGAAAATAAAGAGCACCTCGGCGTCGTGTAATGGTTAGCAAGCTTGTCTCGCTAGATTAATTACGACTGAAAAGTGAGTTCGATCCTCACTAGGTGCCACATTTAAGCTACGCTTAGTAAATAAGGGGGCACCTCGAGGTGGTGTAATGGTTAGCAAGCTTGTCACGCTAGAACCATTACGAATGAGTAGTGAGTTCGAACCTCACTGGGTGCCCCTTACTTCCGGCCTTGTGCCACATGCAAGCTACGCTTGGAAAATCACTATGCCACTATGACGTTTACAAGAAATAGGTTGTACAGATCATATAAAGGAAAATTTTTGACTGAATTTTAATGGTAACTGTACGATTTTGCTCAACTGTAATAATTGCTTGATTTTTATTTTGTTTTCTTACCTTTAGATATAATAAAGTTTTTATAGGTTCGTGTTCTTTTTTGCCTATTGTTTTTCGTTCAATTGTAATCATGGCTTGTTTAACCAAAATAATACCTCATAAATATAGCCTAGGCTGTACCATTTACTAATAATTTTACTAATTAATAATTTTTTCTTGATTTGCCCTGCTGAAATTGGGGTGCGTCTTATACGTCCGTGCGTCTTATATGTCGTCAAATACGGTAATAGTTTTCAAATATTTTTTTAAAATATCAGTTTTCTTATCTTTTGATAAACTTGAATCAAAAGTCACTGATTATTGCAAAAGAGAAATCCTCTCAATCCAATGTTTTGTTACCTAACAATACAGCAGCAATTCATTTAAATGAATGTCAAAATTCTAAAGTAAAATTTAATATTTATATTTTAATCTAAAAATATGTAAATCATGATACATAAGACATAAGAGCAGCAGATTCTTTTTTTTATCAGAGGCTAAGTTAAAAAGAAAATAAAAATTATATAATATTAAAAAGAAAAACCATATTAAGGGGCTAAAAACAAAAAATGTTTGAACATTTTAGTGGAGGGGGATAATTAAGAAATAGTTGTCGTCTATAATAGGTAAGGTTCAGTACTGACTTTAAGAAGAACCTTGTTTTTCACAGAGTAAAAGCAGAAAAACTTAAGAACATTTTGTCTTACTCATTTAGAAATATCTAAATGATCATCTATATACAACCATTTTGTAAGATCAATGATTAAAAAATGGATTCAAGTAAATGAATAATTTTTAGGTGATAAAAAAAGACAATCCATCATCAAACCATACAGACTGGCACTACAGAATCACAAAAGACTTTAATACCCCCCACCCAAAAAACCTCTCCTGAAAAACTGGCTTAAGAGAAAAAGATATATAAAATATCAACTGACATTAACTACTTAGTTAATGAATGCCTAATGTTTCCTGTATGTAAACATTGAATCTCACCATTACCCATATATTGTCAAATGTATTAAAAAGTTCATAACAAGCATTTCCAATTAAATTATAAAGTATTTTTAAAATTCAAAGTTCAAAAGCTAAACATTGTCAAGTAGCTACAATAACTTTAAAGTAACTCATTCAGAAATATAAGTCCTGGGTATGACGATGAACTACATCCGGCAGCAAGGCCTCTGATCGGGAGGTTTTAAGGAACGTAGAACCACCTGTTAATTGCTGTTCTTCCCAGGTTCACCCTGAGCAGGGATGGTAGTAGCACTTGTTAAGGTCCCAGGTATGGGAAAATAGTGACCTCCAAGAAAAAGCAAAACACTATGAAAGTATAAAAATACATGTTTATAGTAAAAATACCAACAATACATTTATATATGGAAAGTTAACAAAAATATGCACATAGTAACAAATTGTAGCGATTTCATCCAAATCTGTTTAAAGTGCCACGAAACAACCAACATAAAAAAAACTATCATGATATTAAGCTATATAATATCCGACAATTTCTTAATTCAAACTATTCCAAAATATAACTCCAACAAAACTACAACACAAAACACACATCACCGCCTCTAATCATGTCCACACAAACACATGTATACACAAAATCTGAGTATCATCTACCATGTATTCAGTTGTGAAAGCAGAACAACATATAAATTTTTATTACGTCAATGCATCCAAGAAAATTTAATTTCGGCATTAAATGACCCATAATGAATTGATATGCCATTAAACAGACAAATATATCTATCAATCATTGAAAAATTTCTAAACAAATCATCTTGTAACTATTTTGTACGATCAATGATTTAAAATGGCTTCAAGAAAATAAATTCTTTAGGTTATAAAAAAGACAATCATCATCATCATCGCTATAGACTAGCGTAACAGAATTACAAATAAAAAAAGCAGAGAGCAAAAACTATATGTGTTTTGTTACGTCAGTACAATACCTTCATTTTTTTTATTTGCATTTGTTCGCTCCATTTTATTTAAGTTACATTTTTGGTTAGTCACCGTTTTGACCACTTTTTCTTTAACCCATAGAAATTTTTTTTAAGCATTTCCCGCCAAGCAAGGGAGGAGCGCCACAAACAAGCAGTGGGGTTATAGAGAGTGAGAGAAAGAGTAAAGAGAGGTGTTTGAGGAAAATATATAGAGAAGGACGGGGGGTGTCAGGATTAAGGCGTCAGAAGATGTCGATTAACATTGCACTTGAATATTTGAAGATTATAGCGATCAGGGAAGCAAGTAAGAGGAAGGGAGTTTCACTGTCGGGAAGTGCGAGAGAAGAAGCTGTTGGAGTAGGAGTGGCGGTTATATTTAACTGTTTCAACAGTAAAAGGGTGGGACCGAGATGCCAACCTAGTAGCACGCTTAAATACACGCAGTTGGAGCACCAGTAAAAGTAGCTTGTCAGAGCAGTTGCCATGGAAATATTTGTAGAAAAGACAGAGGGAAGCCACGTCACGTCGGTGAGAAAGCGACTGTAGACGAAATGCTAGGTCAGGACCTATCACATTGCAGATTCGTCTTTGGATTTTGTCGAGAAGCTCGCGATGAACAGCGGGCACCAAACCGTATATAGCAAGAGTAATCAAAGAAAGGACAAATGGTAGATTTGAAGGATGGAATCAGACAAGAAAAACCTTCTGACGCAACACAGAGAACTAACCGGAAAAAAAAACAGAATAAAAGACAAGACAAACGGTTCCTACTTTCTCTATCTTCTAAATTAAACCCCAAATGATAGCACACCTGTGTGTATTATCTTCCTTCTCTAAATTTTGAACTCTCTCTCAATACTATATTA